TTACCATCGGAGATGTGCACAAGTCGATACCCAAACCAAAAAATCATTCAACTGTAACGAGCGCTTTGGGGTATATATCGTTACAATGAGACAAGATATCTGAAAGAAATATGGCGGAATACGGCTTTAGTTGGTATGAAACAAGTCGTACATAGATGAAAATGTTGCGTTTTTAAGAATTCATGTCAGCTTTAAGGCACCTTCTTTTATTTAATTGATTTTATTGTAAGTATTTTCGACTAAAAATATCGAATATCAAGATATTGATCAAAGCAAGATAGTTAATCATATCAATATAGTAATGTCAATATGAAGAAATAAATATCTCAATATAAATACAATATGAAGTGAGAAACATTATTGAGCCACTCGGAGCAGAGATTCTAGGAAGAAAGATAACTCTAAAATTATTTATTCTTGTCACAATGCTTCAAAATGTCGCTGGTACTGTAATTGATTTCCTTTTTAATGTAGTGCTTGTACAATTCGAAAAAAACTTCAGACATACACAGTACGTCATCTTGCAAGTAATCAAAGGACTGAAAAGCCTGCTACTAGAAGATGCAGCTTATATTACTTCAGTTTAACTAAGGAAGCTTCTAAACACTAATACAAGTGCTTTTTGGACACGGAGAAAAATATATCATATAAATGTGTGCATATTAAGGCTATTTAATTCATTTTCAACATAGGGTACCTGCCTTAATTCTGCAGGAAAAATGTTCACAGACAATGGACTATGCATGAACAGAAACACTGCTGTATTCTTTAACTGGGAAAAATTCAAATGGAAATAATGAATTCAATTACTTATTTTTGGTCTGATTATTAATAAATGCTAAGCATGTTTTAGTTTATTACAAATGTAAATAACTGTAAATAGCCATTTTTTTTCTATCTCACCTCGAAGGACAGATTACTCCAACAGCATAAAACTACCTTAAAACTAGTGCTAATTGTAACGGGGACCGTTACAGATGTTCCCCAAATGCTCCCTAACTCCCTTTTATAGTCATATTCCCTGTAAGCGTAATTAAATAAGACAAACTTTATGCATTTGAGACTTTAACAATGTTTACCCAGAAGTGTACTATGTTCATTCAAATTTTATCATTGCACACTTGCGCATGTTAATGCATGTGCGTAATGACCATATCATATTCTCTACACAATCTATATGTTTTAATATGCTAAATATTAAAGTATTTAATCCAAAAGTATAAAAAAAAACGCTCATTCAAGTGTATTTTTGATTTTACCCATTTCATGTGCACGCACGTGCATACATGAACATGGTGACCATACCTTCTTGTAGAAGTCCATTACATCTATCTATGTTCTAAATCCCACCCCGTTTGGTTGAAAACCAAGGGAGTTATAGCTGTTTAAAGTTTCAGCCAATCAGATTGTAGCGCACGTACACGCACGTGTATGTATGTGCATGGTGACCATACCTTCTTATAGAAGTCCATTATATGTATCTTTTTTCCAAATCCCAACCTGATTGATTGAAAACCAAGGGACTTATAGCTGTTTTAAGTTTCAGCCAATAAGATTGCAGCATTAGTACACACACGTGCATGCATGTGCATGGTGACCATACCTTTTTGTAGAAGTCCATTATATATATCTATGTTCCAAATCCCATCCTGTTTGGTTGAAAACCAAGGGAGTTATAGCTATTTAAAATTTCAGCCAATCAGATTGCAGCGCACGTGCATGCACGTGATTTCATGATAATGGTTATATGTCATTTTGTAGGATATCTTAATGCATGGCTATGTTCAAAATTTCAAAGGATTTTGTCAAAAAACAAGAAAGATATTGAGACTTTAGTTTCAGCCAATCAGAGCGTAGCGCACGTGCATGCGCGTAAGATCTTGCCATATTGACCACGTCATCTTGTTTATACTACTAATACATCCTTACATTATAAGTTTCAAAACATTTCATCAAAAAATAGAAAAGTTACGGCAATATACATTATATTGGTCATTCACGTGTTGCACGTGTGCGCTCTTGCAAGCACGTGCGCGCAAAATGACCTTCGTTCCGCAAATCTACATAACATGTCTACTGACCCTAAAAACATTTCACCTTAGTTGGATATGTGGTTTACGAGATCATTCGCGGACAAAAAAGTGCCCAGGAAGAAGAAAAATAATAATAACTAGATGAGATCTCGTTGCGAGCAACGAGTAGGTCTTCCGTTGAATTTCTTGATAAGATGAGATGTGATTTAGACTGAGATATTCGTTTAAAGGGAATGGCATTGAGTTTTCCCTCATTAAAGTTAAAGTTTCTCATTTTTATCACGAGATTATAAACATTTTTTGTTTGATTAGGCTGATGAAAATACTTCCCCTTTTCGAGACATAAAGCATAAAAAATAAAGCATTTTGGTCCCTTGCGACCCCTAAACACGTAACATATGATCAAGATAAATTATCATATATTGTTGCAAAGCGTTAAGATAAATACTTTTGCCCCAGTAATGTATAAAAAAATATTGATCAATTGAGAGTTATAGAAAAAAAATCTTGGCCCCTCTGAGCCCCTAATTTGAGGGGTCAGCCCCTTTTTCTTCATATCAAATGAAAGGTCTTGTGACTTTGAAGCTTTTTTGTTCAACACTTATTCAGAGATTTCTATTCGTTGTGGAGATATGCTAGATAGAAATATTTAGGGGCCACTCCTATAAATCCTTAATGGGGCCGTTCTACAAAAATTCAAAGTATGCATATTGTTTAGAATATTATTCTGACCATCTTTTGTTCAATATTGCTTATCAAAATATTCTCCTTTTTAGAGATATAAAGCGTCAAAGATTTGACATTCTGGCCCCTTTTGACCCCTAATTACGTAACATATGATCAAAATGGTATCATATATTGTTGCCAATCGTTAAGCTAAATACTTTTGCTTCAGTAATGTATAACAAAATACTTATCAATAGAGAGTTATAGATTAAAGACTGTTGGGCCCTCTGAGCCCCTAATTTGAGGGGTCGGCCCCTTTTTCTTGATATCAAATGAAAGGTCTTGTGATTTTGAAGCTTTTTTGTTCAACACTTATTCAGAGATTTCTATTCGTTGTGGAGATATGCTACATAGAAATATTTAGGGGCCGTCCCTACAAGTCCTTAATGGGTCCATTTTACAAAAATTCAAAGTATGCATATTGTTGAGAACATTATTTTGACCATCTTTTGTTCAATATTGCTTATCAAAATATTCCCCCTTTTTAAGATATAAAGCGTCAAAGATTTAGCATTCTGGCCCTTTGTGACCCCTTATTACGTAAGATATACCTAAAATTTGAAAATATGTTGTTGCAAATGGTCTAAACTTAATAAAAATCGAGAAATCAACCAGAAAAAATGATAAAATTTCTTGGTCACAAGGGGGATCGAACCCGGGTCGCCCGCATGACAATCCAACGCGCTAACCATTCGGCCATCGGGATCGCCGCTTCGCGTTTTCAAATGCTAATATCTCGAGATTGGCTTTTTCGATTTTCAAACAAATTACATATTTGGCTTCTACAAAAGGGTCTTTATTCAATTCTAAAACAAAAATATTAAAAATGAAAAGTTGAAAAAATACGTTTTTTTAAATTTGCTTCCGGTTTCAACCGGAAGTACTGACGTCGCACGAAAAGGCAATTCTGCAACGCTATAAGTCATGAACTATCATCTCCAATTAATCTTAAGTTCATATCTAAAGCTGTTTTCGCTACTAAATCAAGACAAAATTGCATTTTAAAATCAGAAAATTGTCCATATTTCACAACCGGAAGTGACGTCATTAAAACGATCAAAAACCTATCAAGATCGATTGATAAGCTATAACATATGAAAATTTCATGTAAATCGGCCGAGCCGTTTCCGAGAAATCGCGTGCACAAAATCGGTTGGAAGAATAATAATAATAATAATAATAATAATAGAGAAAAAGAAACCGAACGAAAACAATAAGGTCTTCCGTTGGAAACGGAAGACCTTAACTAGACGAGCTTGTTGCAAAGCAACAAATAAGTCTTCCGTCTAATTCTGAAGACGATGATATCGAGATTGATAGACATTTACGGTTATGTGTGCAAAAAACGAGCCATTTACAAATACTTCCGGCCTGACCGGAAGTGACGGTATTTTAACGACTTTAAATGATCTCTGCCTCTGCTATTAATTATTTTGAACAACTTTCCTTCTATGATGCATAACAAATTGTCAACACTTTTTGAGATATCAGATAAAACGTTTAGGCCCCTCTGGATCCTTTATTTTAGGGGCCAGCCCTTTATCTTGGATATCATTTGAAAGATCATGCAATTCTACACTTCTTTTGTTCTACATGTTTTAACAAAATATTTCTAGGTAAAAAGTTATCGTAGAAAAGGTGTTAAAAATTTTGAAATTCTTGGTAGGACTATTTTCGGGCCATAGCGAGCGTCGACACTTCGTACTTCCGGTGGTTGTGATATACGAAATTCACTTCTCCAAAGGTTGCTCTAGCATCACTGAAAATTTCATGCTTCTGTGTTGAGTGGTTTTTCAGAAAACTGCCGGACAAAGTGACCCTCTGAAAATCACTAAAACGCGGAAATCTCAAAACCGGAAGTGACGTCATCAAAACAAAAATATATATATCTAGTTTTTTACATGCTCTATCAGTCCTGAAAGTTTCATGAAAATCGAGCGAGCCGTTTTCGAGAACTCGCGTGCACAAAATCGGTAAGAAAAAAAACAATAATAATAATAATAATAAAAATAGTGGAAAAGAAACCTAAGAATAACAGTAAGGTCTTCCGCTGAAGACGGAAGACCTTAATAAGAAACAGAGTAAAAACAATATGTTCCCCAACTTCGTTTGGGGAACATAATTAGAATTCTTTGGTGTGCAGTGTTTAGAGGGTCCTTAATTACAATTCTGACAGGCAGATTGTTCCTTAATATCCGTTATCTCAAGATTTTACTTCAGTTTGTAAATATCACTTACAAATTAACCATGTTAACATTAATATTTTATTATTAAAACAACTCTCTTACATCCATTTATTAACAATTCTAGCTCAACCAATAGCAAATTTGTCTTGTTAGCTATTTAAACATTTTTTTTTTTTAAAACTCATTATATAAATTAATATCTTCATGAAACTTTAAAAACCTCAAACTTAATCCGCTACATCAGATTTATGAAATAACCAGGTACTTTAAATTTTCTTAAACATGACTACTAAAAAGATAGACACATACATGTACAATCATATACACATAAATAACACAGTAACCTTACATTCTTGTTCACAGAAACTAGTCTACACGTATCCTATCTAGCAACAATAAGGCTGACTCAGACATAAGTGCCACCATAATGGCAGTCTCTCCATGTAATTGTGAAATTTATAATAAGCTTCATTAAAATTCACACTGGAAAACATAAACATGGGAAAACAGCAGTAAAATTCATTCTGACTTGCTATGGTGAAAATGTAACTACCTTTAAAACGTAAACAAATGTTTCTACTCATAAATGCAAAGATCAAAATTTCCAAAAAGGTTCTTAAATTTTGGGAGAATACTGTAAACGTATTACATTTGGCTGTGTATTCTTTTTAGCGCTTTTGGCGGAGAGAAACTTCCGCTAATTCAAGTACAACGCTAAATGTCTTGCACATATACATATAAATAGGAACACTGAGAAATGCATTTATTCAAATCGGCGCTAACTTGTTCAAAAATCAATTTCCGCCAAATATCATACACGCTAAATATAATACATTTACAGTAACCAAGATCTGTATATAATTTTACTTGTTTTGAACTGCAGACAAGCTGCCTGACTAAATGATGTTTTTAAGCTTTCAATATATTACATTGCTGTTCTTGTTGCATCAGATACAATGCAGGCAACATTGCAGAATTAATACATAACTTGCATTAACAAGATATCTATTCTGTAATGATTGCAAGTTTTATTCCACATTTTATAGGTCATCTCTACATCATTTTGAATTATTCATAGAAAAAGTGTGAAAGTATGTAAAAAAAAAAAAAATAAAATAAAATATTGAATTTCAATCTGTTCATTACATTTTAGTAAGTAAAATGATAAACTTTAAACATTTTTTTCCTAATGGAGCTAAAATTGGCTTTAAAAATAAATCTACCTTGTTTAGGAGTCAATTCTTATTGCATCTTCAGAGAAATAGTCATCCATTTTTATATTATTAAAGGAATAAATATTCAGTTGATGTTTTTATAGAGTAAAATACTTGAAACGAATATTTTAATTTCCTATAACCTGAAAAGAAAAATTATTTTAAAATTACAATTTGTTACCTAACAAGTTAAACCAATAAATAACAAATCACTGAATTAAAATAAAATTAAGGATGTAAAACTTCAAATCGGTCTGCAATTGGTTCTTCCCCGAAATGTTCTTGTACGTGTCGTTCAAACTCGGCCTGTAATTCTGCCGGATAGCTAGCATCACACATTGGACAAATCCTGATATCTTTCTCCGATGTCTGCTTTGTTGACACATTTCTCAGGGGTGGGGACACGTTTCTTAGGGGCGGGGACACATTTCTTATGGGAGGGGTTACATTTCGTAAAGTCATGCACTCCTCAGAGTCATTATCCATACAGTTAAACACATGCATTTGGAAATTTTCCATACTAATATTAACAAAGTTTTGTCCACAGACCGGACATATCTGTGAATTTCCTGAAGGACTTTTCTGAACAACCTGTTTTGGCCTAGTTCCCGTACTAGCGGGAGTCATATTACCAGGCACTGTGCGTATTTCTGGCTTCATCGCATTCTCCTGCGGGACTCGCCCGACAGAAGGCTGGAGGAAGGGTTTATTTTTAACCTCGGTCTCCTCACTCCTTATCTGTGAGGAGGGAGGCCTAACTGCAGAATTAGGGGGAGATAGTCCCCCACTGTTGTGTTCCTGGGGCATTCGATACGGAGTTTTACCGATTTGTTCGTCTGGTGGCAAAACCTTCACGCGGGGAGATATTACAGGGATATTCCCTGGGACGTCTTTTAGTTTCACATAATCACCAAGTTCAGGAGCATAGTGGTGACTTGAAGAGCCAGGAATATTGTAAGATTTCCTGTCCTCCATAAACCTGCCCCTCTCTGAATTTCCCACTTCAGTCAGAACGTCCAGGTTTTCGTAAAGACTGACGTCTTGGGTGGGAACTGATTTTTTCATGGCAGTGCTGGAAGGTTTGGTAGCAATAGGATATGTGGCCTCTATATCTTGTTTTGGAGATTGACTAGCTGATGAGATATGTCTGGGGCTGGTGCTCTCTTTGTTCAGTGCTCCTAGTGGTGATGGGTATTTATCAGAAAATCCCCTCCCTGTTTGTAAATATTCACTTTCCTTTGGTCCTCTTGTGTACTTATTCTCCACTGCAGGTTTTCCGAAATTCAGCTGTTGAAAATGCTGATCCAGATTGTGTGTGCTTTCATCCACGGGTAATGTCTGTAGTGTGGGAAAGCTGGAGGTGAGAGGGAGTGGTTTTCGCTGGGCGTAGACGTCCACTGTGTGACCGGTGAGGTCCGTGGTTTTGGGGGGCAGCTGGGTCTCAGTTGAAGACACAAAAGAGGAACCTTCTGCTGCATAACGAGAAGTGGTGGATCCAAGACTGGAGGATCTAGAATTGTCTGAAACAGAAAAATTTTACTTGTAAAAAATTTATTTAGAGGGAAAAAAATAATTGGTCCTGCTGTTCTTCAACAGTAAATTTTTATCCTATATTAATAACTACCTGGGATATGTACAACTTGGATTCCACCCTACCCCCGGGGCATAATACGAATCTGCAGGATACTTTAAGTTATTTTTTAATACAATACCTCAAAACGGAATTTAATTTTAAAAATGTTGCATAGTGTTATTTTAATCATATCTAATTTGTTTCATTGGGAATTAGTTATCAAAGGAAGTTCAAGACTAAGTATGCTTATGCTAGAATATAAACAGTAAAAACCATTACAAAAGTCATTAATATAGCTCAGCTCATTAAGATGAGAATAAAAGCTACCTAAAGGGTGGATGTGAAACCTGTCAAGACATTATTAACTTTTACATCTATTTCCTGTTTTTTTAAATTTTAAGTATTCAGGAAAGAAATACGCCTCAAAAAATTCCAAATACATATACCTGATTTTTGACCCCTGTAATTTTTTTTTTCTGCTTAATCATAGTTGAACTTAACCAACTTATAATAATACCTATAATGTATTTAAACTGAGATGCAACATCCTTTAACACATGTCTGGAAAGTCAATTATGTATTTAAACTATAGACATGATGTACAAGTGTATAATAATTAAATGTTACAGAAAAAGACATGGGATTATTTTTTCTTTTATATAAAGGAGATATTGAGCATGTTAAGTTTACACGTGTATAATACTAATTAGAGTGAATTCACAGACTTTGAATTGTATGACAATTAATGCTTTATTGCCATGGCAACATTTCCATGACATACGGAATGGTTCATATTTAATTGATTTTCATTTCTTTAAACAATAAGCTAAATGTATTTAATACAACTTATCATATCTTGACAATTTCAAACTGTGATGCAGTTTTGAAAAATATATTTCTTTGGATCATATTTCATTACAGATGAGTTGCATGTTTTAATTTAAAAGCATTTTATAAATTACAATTGAACAATTATTCAAAATAGTACAAATCTACATGTTATATTTGGTAATGTTTTTACCCTTAATTTACACTTCCCATGTAAATATCTTACTATACAAAATAACATATCTGTAAATATCCACAATTACCTACCTACCTAAAAATATCCATAAAATCTTATCTATAAATATCCATAATAACCTACCTATATAAATATCCACAATCACCTATCCACAATAACCTACCTATAAATATCCACAATTACCTAACTGTAAATATATTCACTGTTACCTTTCTATGAATATCCACAATTACCTATCTATTACTATCCATAATTACCTCTCTAAAAATATCCATAATTACCTTACTATAAATATCCACCGTTACCTTTCTATGAATATCCACAATGACCTAACTAAAAATATCCACAATGACCTACAAATAAATATCTCTAATTATCTACCCATAAATATCCCCTATTACTTATCTATAAATACCCACAATTACCTATCTATAAATATCCACAATTACCTATCTATAAATATCCACAATTACCTAGCTATAAATATCCACCATTACCTTTCTTTGAATATCCACAATTAATTATCTATTAATATCCATAATTACCTAGCTATAAATATCCATCATAACCTACCTTTAAATATCCAAAATTATCTATAAATATCAACAATTACCGATGAATATTCACAATCACCTACCCATAAATATCCACAATCACCTACCTAAATATATCCACAATTACTTAACTTTGAATATCCACAATTACCTACCCATAAATATCCACAATCACCTACCTAAAATATCCACAATTACTTAACTTTGAATATCCACTATTACCTACTTATAAATATCCACAATGACCTACCAATTAATATCCACAATTACCTACTTATAAATATCCACTATTACCTACTTATAAAAATCCACAATCACCTACAAATACATATCCACAATCACCTACCTATAAATATCCACATTTACCTACCAATAAATATCCACAATAACTTACCTATAAATATCCACAATTACCTAACTATAAATATCCACATTTACCTACCTGTAAATATCCACAATTACCTACCTAAAAATATCCACTTATTTCTAAATATCCACAATTACATATGGATATCCAAAATTATCTAACTTTAAATATCCATACTTACTTACCTATGAATATCCAGTTATCTAAAGATATCCACAAATTACCTATATATGAATATCCAGTAATTTCTAAATATCCATAATTACCTTTGAACACCACAATTATCTAGCTTTAAATATCCATAATTACTTACCTATGAATATCCAGTGATCTATCAATTTCCACAAATTACCTACCGGTACCTATAAATATCCTGTTATCTATAAATATCCACAATTACCTTTGAACACCACAATTATCTAAATTTAAATTACCATAATTACCTACCTATAAGTATCCAGTTACCTATGAATACCCACAATGATTTACCTATAAGTTTTCTGATGGCCTCCTGCTGTCTGACCAGCATTTTTCCCTGTTCCTGCACCTGAGCTTTCAGAGTTTTGATCGTTTTGCTGTATCGCTCCACTTGTTCCAGGATCTTTTTCTCGTCCTCCATCGAGATAGAATTAAGGGAAGGTATCCCTGATTCCCGATCCTTAAGGCTCTGCTTCAATTGTAAAATCTCTGCATCTTTCTGCCGAATTTGAGTTTGTAAATCTTGAGAATCATCTGCATTAGCATCACGTTTCTTTAACTTGTCCACCTCTCGATTCAATGCTTGGTTTTCTAATGCTTGACTTTGCAATTTTTCTCTTAATCTCTCTATTTCTTTTGTTTTTTCAATATCTCTAGCTTTATATTGTTTTAATTCCTCTTCAACCTGAGTCAACTTTTTAATCAGATGTTTATTTTCACTTTCAAGTTTTGATAAAGTACTTTTGGCCCGAATCACCTGTCTTTCTAAACTTTGTGCAAATCCAAATTCCGCGCGATACTGTGCCTGAAGATCCTGCTCAGGCTCACATGGCGGTCCAGCCGCACCAAATACCCCCGAGTTTGGACGTCCGCTAGAAATGCGCTGCATCTCCATTTCCCGGATTGAGGTCTGTAGTATCGCATTCTTATTCACCTGTTCCTGCAGTCGTTTCTTCACTTCGCTGTACGCCGTCTGTAATGCGTGGAGGGAGCCATCTTTTTCGTGGCTGGTAAAACTCAGCTGGAGATTGTTGAAGTGGCTTCCTGTCCCCGCGGTGGTGCTCTCTGTTGTAGGGTCCTCTTCATTGTTACCTATAATAGCTATGTCCTCCTCCATTCTCTAAAACGGCCTGATAACCAGCAGCCTGATAAACAGAAATGACAAGGCTAAATATTTATTTTTCTCTCTCTTTTAGGTATGTTCAAGAAATAAATGGGAGCTCAGTCTTCAGTCATTTTCTAATTTTATTTTAGTTTTCATATTTATTTATTTCTGCTTAAATTTTGCTGGTTAAAATTTCATATTGAATTAGAGAGATAAAGTTTTATATCTTGTGAACATGAAAATCCCTTGTACATGTAATAGAAACAGAGATGTTATTATTACCTGTGAAAACAACTATAAAAGGATCATTTACAAATACCTGATGGACATTTATATGATTGAAATTACAGCAGGAAATAGATTTCACGGGATTTACAGAATCATTATCTCCTACCTGTAATCTTAAGATGTTAGTTATATAATCTTAATAAATGGAATAATTTTATATGAAAACTAACATCCTACTATTAAAAATTACAGGTTTTTACAAGATTAACACCTACTGATCATTAAAAGGATTATTATAGATTAAAATTATATAAGTTTTGAATATATCTCCTGGGGGATGTGGGGTGTATTTGAGAGTTTGGAGAAAGTTAAGCATAAATTACCATTCTACAATGTCAGTCCATCTTTCAGAGTCAATAAATGGGAAAAATCTACAAAAGAAAAAAAATGTATAAACAAGTCATCAAGAATTTCCTGAAAAATTTAAGTATTTTATTTTAAATTCATAAATATATAAAACAATAAAAAAATATATACATAGGCAAACAGACAAACAAACTCTCATCACATGAAATATATAAACTCTATTAAGATCCTGAACCTTCAAAATATCTAGCAAGCACAGACTCTCTGTTCTGAAGTTGAATGGTACAAATTGTATATGACGCAGCTTAGAATTTGTTTGATTCTATGAACTAAATGTTAAGATGACTGTTTAGACTTTAAGTATGGCCGCTAGTTTTACTTATTGACATCAGAAGCCATATGTTTATTTGAAGTTCCTCCTACACAACAATGACTAAGCAAGAACCTTCCTCGTACTCAGTTAGTACATATTGTTACGTCTATTGGCATAGAAATATTGTTCACACAGTACTTTCAAATTATATCATCTAGATCAAATAAATAACATCTTGGGTTATTCATACTTTATATTACAGGAAACCTTCATCATTTTGCTGACATATCATGCTTTCTTTTGTTTCGTCTCCTTATAAAGGATAGATTTTAATATACTACTCTTAAAATGATGTACCGTATAATCCCTATTTTTTTTTTTTTTGGAACATATTTTATTGACAAGATGTCAGAGATTGGACACAAGTTCCAAAAACTTAGATAGCCCTCTCCCCTTATTACCGCCCCTGTACCCAAAAGTGCAACCTAGATCTTTTTCAATTGTCAGGAAATAAGGGTCCCTTGTACAGTGATTAAAATCATCTAGAATCGAATCAAAAGTCTGCCAAAATTTGAAAAAAATGAAAATGAATATCATCTATTATCTAGTTTCTCCATGGAAAATGAATCATTTAGCATAATTTGGGTGGATCATCTTCACTTCAAGTAAAGTTAGACATTATTTTAGTGGTTCTTTGAATCTATTTTTTTTCAAAAGATTTTTTGAAGTTAAAATATTACATTAAATATCATAAAGAGAATACCAAAATAACTGCCCCCTTTTCGCAATTTTCTAAGCGCCCAGGGTGGTTAATAGGGATTACATGGTATATATGTCAAGTCTAACTCAAACTGAAATAGTCAATATCTATTGTTGTTTCTAATTTTCACAGATTCATGTAGACAAAACATGTATAACTAAATAAAGTATCTATTAGAATAACTGGAATCTTGCTTACTCCCTCCATGATATACTTTAACTGTATAATATATACACCTGTACTTAATATCACAGATTTTAGACAAATTAGAAAGAAATTGGCAGAATTCAGAGGTATTGACCAAAAGAATCAATTTAAGAATTTAGAAATTTTGATTTTGTTTGTTTTGTTTGTTTTTTGATCTAGGGGTTAAAAAACCAAGACATACACAAAGGCCTTACATAAGAATAAAAATTGCTCTTTGAGCGATAAGCCTGGATAAAAATTGGAATGTCCTTATTATTATTTAGTCATCAGGATGTTGATAAAAATAACTGTTGTTTCATAAAAAAGATTTTATAAAAGACTTTTATTATGAAATCATTATTTATATAAGCAGCTGACTTGTGTAAAGGAAATAATTAAGTCATAATTACAATTCTGCCATTTCTACAATTTTCTTAATTACATCAATACATGGCTACTGAAATCCAACTTTTATTTGTGATTCATCAGTTTGAAATAATTGTGTTAAAATTAATTTTTGTGATTGAAGAAAAATTCTCTACAAATAAAAAGCAAAATACCCAGTATATGATTAACAGCGACTACTATTTGCAAGTTAAAGTAGGTTCTCGGAGACTCGCTGTTATTTCTCACATGCAAATAAAAATTGGTTTACAGTACCTGCACTTAAAGAGTGAATATTTGATTCTTTTAAGAGAATGTGAAAATGGCAAAATCCTGTGATCTTAATTCTGATTACCTGACCTGCTTTAAAAAATTAATCTGCATGTCTACATAGTTTATATGCATGTTAAAGCTGTGATATTTTGGAATAAATGTATGCTGAATGCAGTGACAAACCGTAACATGAATAGTACTTTATAAAATTTGTAAGATATCACCACCTGAATTGATATTCCTTAATTCTTCTGACAAATCTTGTATTGAATGAAATAGTTCTGACAAAGATTTGTTTGTATGATGTAAAATATACAAGAATTATTTAGGGGATTACCAGACATCAATCTGATTTAAATCTTACAAGGATGTATGGTGCCAATAAGTACAGAGTCTTTAAACCCAAAACGTGAAAACTTAATTCAAAATTTTAAAAGTAAATACAAGGGGTGATCAAAAAGTTCGCGAACAAATTAAATAACCTCCATAAAACAAATAAAATTAGGTTTCAGTGTTCATCATTTTTTAAAGTAGCCCTCTCGGATTTTAATGCATTATCTGCCACCATTCTACACATGCGCGAATCACGTGATCCAGGCGGTCAAGTGACATGCCTTTAAGCATTCTCTTCTTAGACGCTTATTTTTTTCCAAGTCTTATATTTCTTACCATCATGCATGCAAGTTTTGTAACTAGAACGGTTCGTTTGTCATAAATGACCAAATCTCAGAGATAAGATGGTTAGATAAGGATATCCTTTCCCAGAAAGAACATGGTGACCATCACAACCCGAGATCTCTGTCTTAGGAACGTCGTTTATCAAAATGGATATAGTTGTAGGGGCCTTCTTTTTATAACATTTAATAATTATGTTAAAAGTCAGAATTAAAAGATATTTTAGGGATTTAATAATAATATTATTGATAAGATATTTAACCATTTTTCTAACTGTAAATTCGAAATCTTTCATAACAAATTGCTTAACAAAGGACAGATCTCTTCCCCAGCTTGCTTTCTCTGGGGGTACAAAACAAACGTCATTTTTAACCATCTCCCTCCCTTCACTAAAACAATCAATCCAATTTATGATTGAATGTCTGGAAGGTCTATTGTCTTTATAAACCTTGTACAAATTATTATTATTAAAGCTATATGTTAAACTTTACAGCCGTTCATTGCTCGAGTAAGACTATGACAACCGTTTTTCGTCATGAGTCAACTACATATATATTGACATCATTTTCACATTGTGACGTCTCAATGTCTGACAATGATGGAGAAAATCATTACTTTTCACATGCCATTTATAGAACATGTGCATGAGTATAGGTGTATTAAATTTCATTCTGATCTGAATCATGGTTTTGAAAATATAGAGATAGGTCGCGAACTTTTTTATCACCCCTCAATAGTAACACCTCAGACTACTGGGTATAAAACACTAGTTGTATAACATCCTTATCCATCTGATCTGGGAAGTTTAAAAGTCAGATTGGTCGCTTTAGCGTTGAATTCTCAAAGCTTAAAAAACACATTTTTACAATATACTCTTTATATAAACCTTGCTAATTGAATTACATCAAAAGAATTTGCTTAGAGAATGCAATATCTGTGACATCATTTTCATTTACACTTGAGCCCTACAAAGTCTGAATACAAGGAAGAGTTATCTCTCTTTCCTCAAGGACAACTCCATTTACCCACACTTCAAGACACCAATCATCTGCTTATAAAGCATTACTAGGAAGAGTCTCTGCATGAGTACAGCTTATATATATAGTTTGTAAAATCCATATAATCAAAACCTGTAATTTTTGCAACTCTTTTCTACTGTATCAGCATGATAATGCATTATTTATGACATGAATTAACTAATTTTTCTCCACGATGCACTCAAAGGGATAAATGACCTGTTCTATATGAATTGTCCTATTCAGTAATTAGAAACTGACAATGTTTAACAAAGAAATTCTACAGATAGGACAGGTAGAATCAGATTAGATTCCAGATCTCTCTGTGTTGTATCAGACCAGCTTTATAATTATTAGTGAAAATTATGTGCAGCATGGTATTATGTAGTGTGTTCCAAAAGTTTTTTGAAAGTCACATGGTTGTGCAGGATATAAATATGCGGTAGATCGGCTCTCTATAAGCTCGCTCGCCAGGATTTAGAGATTAGTATGGCTGAAAGTGATGCAATGAAATGGAGTGCAATAAAGTTGTATTAGTTATGAATAGTTATGTGTTAGCAGTATATAATTGAATAAAAGGACTAGCGAGCAGCTTTCCTATTTAATATGTGTTGTGATTTATTCATTTATCGCTTCATTGATTTATATTTTGATGAACGAAGTGAGACAGAATATAAATTAATGTATTCAAACCCATATTTTTCAAGGTGGGTAGATAGGTTCCCCCCCCCCCATTTTTTTTTATTGACATGTGTGGATTTCATTGTCTAACACAAAATTTAATGATTTCAACTTTATTACATATTGCCATTGTGCACCTCCTATTTAACTTTTTTAGCACAGATTTCCCACAAAACATGGACATTGCATTTTTTGTTTACCTATGACTCACATTATGTTAACATTTCTGTCGAGTTACACACATTTAAAACAATATAAAGCAACACATCGACATTATTTAGATGTCACATTTGTTTTTTATTGACATGTGTGGAATTCATTGTCTAACACAATGATAACTATTATAAAAAGAAAACACATTTATGTAAACTGTAGTTTTTTCTTAATAAAAAAAAAAAAAAGGATTATGTAAACTGTAGTTTAATAAAAAAAAGGATTATCTGTATTTTCCCAGAAAAAACTACTGGAAAAAAAGATGAATAGGTAGGGTAATTAATGATGGGACAGTACGAGTACCGGTACATAAGACAAGACTTTCAAAAGAATGATTCAGCTTAACTGGGTCTAAGAAGGCATGGTTATGCCTATAGTCACATTTCCCGGCTGATGGTCGTAGACGGGTGGTAATCGGTGGTAATCCGTGGTGTGAGCAATGCCCAACATCGGTCCACATCAGCTAGCGATGGGGTAAACGATGTGCAACCAATGCGTTTTTTGATAAAAATGGTGTGGTTGCCAGCCAGACTTATAAAGGCCCAGCGATGCAGTGCTAATCATAAAATGATGTTCAAGCGTAATCCGCCGATGTACATTATATCGCTCATACATTTGTGAGAATTGTTCGTAAGTCGGTCGACTATGGGTCAATGTTTGACCGAACATCGACCGATGATTATTTTCTACTGATGACCCACACCGATTTGCCAAATGGCCTCAATCACTGTCCGATTACTATAGGTGTCTGGCCGGCAACCATGCCATTTTTATCAAAAAACGCATCAGTTTCTCAAACGCATCCGTTTCTCATCGTATACTCCATCGCTGTATAATGTGACTGATACTTAAAGAAAAGGAACAAACTATAGCTATACTCTGGCAAAAGTCCATGAATTGAAGAAGAAAAGATAGTTGAAAATTTGACACCAAAAAAAATGGTGTAATTATTATATGTCATTATGTGTTGTAATTCTATATCACTATTTCAAAAATACAAGGGGAATTCATACACAAGCAGGTAAAGTTTGTAACGAGTATTTATATATATACTGAGTATATATATGAAGAACTGCAAGCTCAAACATTAAATTTGTAAAAACATAAATGCTTCTTGAGAATTAAATTCTTATATATATATATATACATGTATTACTGACTTACAATAGTGAATGTTAAGATATCTACATTATAATTTGAACCTATATAAGGTTACAAAAGTACACTTAATATATAAATCAAACTTTTGTTAAAATTATCTTTCTTCCATTAAACCCTGTGAATCTGTAATCATATTTAACACCTTCCAAGATGCAAGATTTCCTAAAAGCCAGTCAAGGTAAACATTAATTAATCCCAAAAAATGTGATATAAAAAAATTGTAACAATTATACACAGACAAAATGAAAAGTCAGATAGAACTTACCTCTTAATTAAATCCGATAAAATTTGAATTCAAACCTTACCTTGTCTTGTTATTGTGATAATTTAAAGAAGGATGCACTGCGGAATAGAAGTTGTGGTGTTCTAAGATAATGTCCTCTAAAGACCTGAATTATAAATAAAATAAAAATAAACAAACATCCAAACAGGAACAAGAAGATAAAGCAGGAAAAGGTACCAGCAATCAAACTCTCCACATCACTCGTGTTGCTAAAATCCCTATCAGACACTTACGGCTCTGTTTTCTTTTAAATATTTTTGCAAAGAAACAAAATTGATGTTATGCTGTATATGCTAGATTTTTTTCATTTATCAATAGGGAACTCAGTTCAATCTACTTGGTATGATTCCTGTTCACAAGTAAAACACTGGTCACTGTGTTAGATCTAGATCTGGGAAACATCTTGTAGCTTACCATGGACAACTACCAAAGCTTAGAGGAAGAAACTTAACCAGGACTTAACAGAGAATTCAGTAAACTGTATATAGTACTACATGTGTTTACAATATAATTTATCTTAAAATGGTCCAAAATTTTGTTATACTATAACTATTAAATCATGTTAATCATTTCATCGGTATAAACTGTTGTTCAGTTGACAATTAGCATCTATACAAAATGGAAACTTCCCCAAATAACAAGCTATTTCAAGGCACCCCACCAAAATAAAAATCAAATCCAATGTATTTTGATGATCCATCTGGCATGAAGATTTTCTTAAATATATAATTTCATATTATTAATTTATTATTATTATATTGAGTCTGATAATTTTCAAACACATTCCCAAATTTAAACATGTTATACCTTTTTGTACCTGATAAACCTTAAATTACTTTAATACCAAGCAAGAAAAATTTACATCCTGCTAAATGTATGTGCATGATGTAGGAAGTGAAATAAAAGAAGTCATCACATATATTTATATATACATTAGTTTTTCAGAAATCATCAAATGTATATAACATAAATTATCACTTAACTACACTGTGTCCCAATTCACATTTTTGTGAGCTATTTTTAATCTACCAATGATCAACATTCAGGTTTATTTGGAGCATCCATTTTCTCAGTAAATAGTGACCTAATTTTTTTTATGGAATTCTGTATTTTCATTGATAATACACTCATTCATGTCTTAATTCAAATTTTTGAAAGAGGAAGTTATACATGTTGTATCTGAATATTTCAAGGTATTGAACCAGAAGTAATCTGCTAAATCCTCAGTGTTTCTGATTTTTAAAAGCAATATCACACTGAACTAAAACAAATAAAATTTATAGAATTCATTAGCTTTTCTGTACATACTATTTAATATTTATATTTGTTTGAAATATACCTGTCGAGCAGTTAATCAAAATCCTGGTAAAAAATATAACGTCCTAATTTTTTTTCCGAATATGAAATTACTACGGTAGGCCTACTCATTCAATCATTCATTCAAATGATAAATATAACTCGAGACTAGTGATGCACAACGAGTTAAATATTACATAAGCAACATTAGACAGCATATGTAAACAAATCATTGATGGAGATGAACGTAGTTGAGTCGCAAATTGACAAAGATCGGACTATTTGTAATAACCACACCTTGTACTCAAATACTTTATACACATTTTTTTCTTCGAAGGATTAGCAGCAAAGAAATAAAAGTTTAAACACCCCCACATCTCCCGTGGGCTGGTCTTACCAATAGGCCTAGTACTGAGTGACTGCGTGACCTAGATATTGGCCCACGTAATGAGACGACAGAGTGTCACCAATCAAACGTCGTTTCTTGTCCTCAGAGAAAAGGTACTTTTAATTCAAAGAAAAAATATGATTTTTTCTGAAAATCATAAAAGTGTTTACACGTCTAGAATGGCGGAGAGTTTCTGATTTTTCGCATTCCGTGCCCGATGGAGAGGATTGTCTTAACTATACTTATCTTAGTTTAATCCTGAAGTCTTTTAATCTTTACGGCTAGGATTCATATTTCACACTAACCAACAATTTTACATAATTCTTCACATTTCACCACAAGTATGGCCATTATTTTTTTTCTTGACGGGCACTGGCATGTTGAAGTTTTTCCCCCATAAAAAAACGTTTTTTTAAAATAATAATTCAAGCATAATATATAATTATATATATATTTTAATTTGCCAATAGTTTATATACTATCTTTTTTTTTTTTTTACAATTTAAAACCCTTATTACAGAGATTTCCTCATGCACCCCGTATTTTATGTTGGACTGAAAAGGCCTATAATAATATGTAAAATCATGATTATATAATAGTACTATATAGTATGTTATTTGTAACTATTCCCAATGGGGCCCTGATTCGGTAATAAATTCTATTCTATTCTATTATGTTACTAAAAATTATACATACATGTAGATTTTTAGAACAGAAACACACTGTCCTCTACAAAAATTTGAAAAATTATAAAATTGTGATATACAAATTTTAATTGAAAAATTCAAATTTTTGTAGAGGACAACACCTCTCATATGTAAGCCTCAGCATTAAAAAGAAAAATCAAAATATTGCATGCAAATAAAGAAGTCTTCACAAACAATGACAAAGGATCCAATTAAAATACAACTGTTAATTTGTGCTACACATACTATAGGTAATTTAAACAGACCCGTAACACGGGAGTGGATTGGGGGTGGTGGTGGGCGCGCCACTCACTTTTCCTGCGCATAGTATTTGCTGATAAAGTAAATTTGTAAAGGTAAATTTTCCTTTAGACGTTTATCCCGCCTTTTTATTACTGTAAGATCGAGCACTGGCAAATTCCAGGATCTGGAGAGTTAATGAGAGTTTTTTAACCCCTTTGTTATGGGCCTGCTAAAAAAAGCTTTGTTACAATGTGAGGGCCTATGATCAACTAGGAACCAAAAGAGCTACGATGCATAATTGTGCATCACTAAGGACGGGTTGTGGTGGTAGGGGACTTTTTACCTATATGCAGATGTCCTAACGAGAATGACAGAACAATAAATTAAGTAATTACAACCCGCTATGTTCAAACCGCCTTCCATCCTATAGAAATATTTAATTTTAATTTACAAAGAAGGGGGATAAGATTATTTATTTATTTGAAATCACATAAGGATATGACAAAGGATTAAGATAAAATTGAATGTTGATGCATTAAACATTTTGAGACTTTATATTTGGCATCACATTCAAATCGACTTGTAACAGAGTCGACATTTGACTGTTTTATGACATTGATTAAAACTAAATACGAAAAATTATAAAGGTCATTCAGTTCAGATTAACAAGAACATAATACTGAACATTTCGGTTTTGATTACATTTAAAAAAAAGATCATGCAAGGACTTCTTTGTTTTAATCTAATATAACCCACATACAAGCTAGAGCAGTTGTATTCTGGTAGCTTAAAATATATTAAGCCACACTACGAAATGAACAAGCTCTATGTATGAACAATTTCTAAAACAAAAAAAGCTATTGACAAACAAGCTGATGAAACAACTTGATGATACAACAGTCTCGTAAGTCATAATTTCGAAAGTTTTATGGTCCTTGTCAGTATATACAATGTAACATATGGAGATAACGTACAGTAGTCAAGATCAAAAGTCTACAAAACAATACAAAATAGGAGCAGAGCAAACACGGACCTCCAAAACATCAGAGGTGGGATTACGTGCCATGGAGGAGTGAGCATCCCCTGCCGACCGGTGACACCCGCCGTGTGCTCCTTGTCATGATCGGGAAATAACGGAAAGATCCGTCCTCAATTCATTGTATAAATAATGGACTAACAATGAGTATGAAAAACGTCAGTCAGCATTTGACTCAATGATAAATTGTACTTGCTGACAAGGTCACTGTATCGACCAAAGAACTTACGAAATGATGACTTTTTTAAAACGAGATTGCTGATATTCATGTTTCATCAACTTGTTTGTCAATAATTTACCTCGTTTTAGAAATTGATCGTTCGTAGAGCGTGCTTTTGCGTATCGAATCAACTGAGATATATAAACTCCGTATGCAGGTGATGAATCAATCATTAAGTCAAATGAAAGATGACTGACGTTTTTCATTCTTATTGTTAGGTCATTATTTACACACTGAATTGTCGACGGATTTTCCCTTTTCCCCGATCATAACAAAGAGTACACGGCGGTCGCGACCGGTCGGCAGGGAATACCTACTCCTTTATGGTAAATGATCCAACCTCTGGTGGTTTTGCTCTGCTTGAACTGGAATACTGTTCATATCTCCATATTTCATTGTATTCCTGAAAGGTAGCCACTGAAAATTGCATCATTTAACGTCGCACACTTTGTTCTTTTTTAGGAGGGATTTTTCTTATATTTGTTGTATTTAAAATTAAGTGAAAATTTCAGTCTGAATAGCACAATATCACTAAGATTAAATATGACCGTTTTATCTTAGGCACAGTGGGGTCAGTTCAAGGTTATGATCATTTTCCTTGACACTAAAAATGAAAAAAAGAAAGTTTGTTTCTAATCAAGCAAGCCTACTTATCTAATACCCCATTCATACGACGAAAATTTGCTTATGTGTGCAAATTAACATATGAGTAAATATACACACGTAAGTAAAAGTTAATTTGCTATGCATTCAGGCGAGATTTATGTACTGTAAGTAAATCCTTATATTTTCATATAAAATAAGGAGATCCGCAGATTCAGAATTGTGGATTTTTAAAGAAAAAGGTTATTTTCTTACTATTAGGATATAAAACTAACTTTTGAATGTTCCTCAAAGAAAGTAGGGGGAAATCCGATCCATTTATTTTTTGGTATGGAAAAAAGCGAACTTAATAACTTTTAGGAAAAATTTACACACGAAGAAAGGAAATTAATTAAAATCATTGTTTAAAATTGGAAAATTCTTTGGCCTTGGTCCTAAAAACTATAGAAGGCCTAAAGACTATAGAAGAGCCGTTGGGTGTTAAGAAAAAGATGTATGTTGCCATCTACTAATTGGCATCTTCAGCTGAATAAAGGACGACTGGAAATCTTTTTGGTGTTTGGAAATTTATAGTACATCAAGTTTGCGAGGTCATTATGAAGTTTCTGCTTGAATATTTTATGTTTTTCTAGGAGAATGAAATGGGCAATCGATTTTAAAAAATCAAACAAAAACAAATATGTAAATAGGAAATAAACACGAATCCCCTAGAAATTCATGGTGCCAAGGATCGAGAATACTTTAAAATGCTTATTTTCAACAGGGTTGTTCAAATTCCTGTAGCATCAATTTATTTGTCTGTAGCTTGTCTTGGTTTCTAAACGAAGAACTGTAGAAGAAAGTCAATCTGTAATGGGGCCCGGGTGATTAATGTAATGCCTATTCCTATCACAGTTCCGGAGCATTCCCATGAATACCACTTGAATTGTAAGGGGACTACTTATTGATCCTGCAGGGCACATGTTTCAGCGACCACAGTTATATTTTTTATGATTTAGAGGCACAAGCATAGGTTTTCTGGAAAGGGTGCAAGATGCGCACGTTTTTGCAAATTCATATTTTTCTCAGAGGAGACTGGAGATATAGTATGGATCCTTGTTTTCAGAGTTGAAAAAACCATTTGTGGAAAGAAATATGCTAGAACAACTCGGCGTATCCTTTTTAGACTTTAAAGCAGTACCCTTATCAAAACTAAAATTACTTTCAGCTGTCCTTGAAGTACAGCAAAGATGAACATAAAAAATCCAATTTTTAATGTTTTGCTTTCTAGCCGCGATGTTAACTGACTGATATTATACACACAACAATAAACATAAACATAAACAACCGAAACAACACTTAAAATGGAGATTTTTGCAATAAACAAACAAAATGCATATATAAGTAAATTTGCTGCGTGTTCATACGACAAAATTTACACACATGAACAAATAATTTGCGACAACATGTATGCAAAAGTTAATTTGCACCTAGTCCTGACCAGGTGTAAATTTACTCTACTGTGCAGAATTTACATGTGAGCAAATCGGTTCATACGACAAAAATTGCACATGTGAGTAAATTTACATATGAGTAAAAAATACTGAGGTATGCAAATCATGTCGTATGAATGGGGTATAAGATTAAATGTTCTTATTTTAGTACAAAAGGAAAATATCAAATTCGCTCTAACAGGCGATACTTCCACATAAAGATTAGATGAATAAACTAATTAAAATAGATATCAGCTATTCCGAATTTCCTCTATTTTTCATAATTTTTCAGGGATTGTTAGTTATTTGTACATGCTTCCTAAATTTAGCTTTATTCTCATTTTCACATATGGTGAAGTAGTAATATAAAGATACAAAATTTTACTGATTTTTTGCTGAATTCTTAAATTGGAAGTTTCCAAAAAGCTTAAATAAATTGTATTTTGAAAAAAATCTTTTCTTTTTTGATGTATCTTAAAACTTAAGTTCATTGTTATTACTTTCAGTCAAGTTAAAAAACTCCTTTGATCTTTGATTATTTAAAATTTTTGATTTAATTCATTACACTGTTAGAATTCTAAGAAACAGAAAAAGAGATATTTTTATACACCGCAATTACGTCAAAATATAGTCCCTGCTCGATTCAGTTTATCATTCTATTCAATGATGTACAATTATGAGTAGGAAAGAATATATGTTAGACATATAAGCAAATAAGTTTTGAGTATTTTATTTAGACAGAAGCAAGACAAAATCCCTCCTTAATCCTTGATTAATGTAAAATCTAGGTCGGTCGATAAAGAATTCGGTAGAATTACAAAGTGGACAATTTATTTCTTGATCATGTAGAAAATAATAATCTTTGTACATGTACAATGGACAACAACAAGTGAAAAAAAAAAAGAATTTTGTTGACAGACCAAAAAAGCCTCTCCTAGAAAAACTAAT